GATCAATAAATTGTTATGGTGGGTGGTTGGCGGGTGCCCTGGTGTGGTTTGCTCCTTCTTTTCTATCAAACAGCTATCGTCCTTATCTCCCCTTCTTCTTTTTTATGTTTGTTACTCTCTTGTAACACCTCTAATCTTCTAGCGCTCATATGACCTTATGCAGTTGCGAGTGCCGTAAAACCTCTACTAAAACTAAACATAAATTGTTATGGTATATCTTAGTTGTGTCTGTGGTGTAGTGGAGAGAGTCTTTAACCATTGTCTGCACAAGGCCTGATTTGGACTCTGCTGTAGAGAAGTCTATTTGATCAAGTACACTGTTGGTCTAAAGTCTGCTTTTTCCTACGGTGTCCTGCTGAGGAGGGCTTGGCACTGGAAGGCAAGATTGAGGTATCGGTTCTTTCTGAGGCATTAGTTCTTTCTGAGGCATCAGTTCTTTCTGAAAAGATCAAAATTTCGTTGGTGGGTTAAAAAAAAAAAAATAATAATAAATTTGAGGCATTAAAAAAAATGAGGGTCACATAAATAATGAAGTTGTTGTGTCTGTGTTTGCAGGTACGGTGCTCGTTGTTTGCAGCTGTCCAAGATTGTTCCGGACATCTGCCGCTTGTTAGATGACCCTAGTCCACAAGTGAGTACATCAGTGGTGTTGTGAACACCTGTCGTGGGTGGTTGGCGGGTGCTGTGGTGGGGATTGCTTCTTCTTTCCCATCAAACAAGTATTGTCTTTATCTCTCCTTTTTTTTGTGTTTGAATGTTACTCTCTTGTAACACCTCTAGTCTTCGGCACTTATATGACCTTATTGTGTTGCAAGTGACGTAAAACTCTTATGAAAAGTAAAAAGTCTGGTCCTATAGTCCCAGTGAAATAACTAACTCCGTCACTCTGTGTGACTGTACGTTGGTGGTAGATATTCTGGAGATTTCGTTCAACACCGTAATGACCAGCCGTTCTGACCTGTGGAGAAAAAGTTTAAACCTCTATTGTTTTTTTGGAATAATTTTGGTTCTAAATTATGAAGATATTGTTAACGACGCATCATAATTCGTCGTTTTTAAACACAAGGGGGCTATCCCGAAAAATGCTGTTTTGAGAACGTCGAAGGTACATTTTGGCCCCTTGTTCAGTTTTTTTTTTTTTAAAAGGAGTTTTGTCTATAACCAAACAAATCTACACACCAATGAAACCAAACTTCTCCTATGGTTAGAGCAATGCCCACTTTTGGTGAAGGTCAAGATTTCTGGAAACCCCGAAATCTGGGTTAGCCCGCTTGTCCTTAAAAGCAACCAAGTGCCCGTATCAATTTCTGTTTCTCTCAAGCAACTTTTGAGTGTGGTTGTTTTTGATAATCTTTTGAAAAATGTTCTTTAAGAAGATTTTTATTTCTAAAGTATTGGTTGCTTAAAAAAAAAATATTTGTTTCACTCCTGTATTTTACGTGTCAACAAATGGTTGTAGCTACCTCTTGAAGGAAGGGTTTATTTTGCTTTGTCTTCACACTCTGGAAAAATGTTTGCGTGATCTTAGCAACGATGGAATTATTTGTCGAGTAGCCCGAAAGTTTTTTGTATATAATTTTCAGCTGAAAGCGTTATTGAATCAAACATTGCGATATGGTAGGTCTAGGACGTACAGGGACGTAGCAAGGACGTAGAGGACATGGTAGGACTAGGAAGTACAGGGACGTAGAGGACATGGTAGGACTAGGACGTACAGGGACGTAGAGGACATGGTAGGACTAGGAAGTACGGGTACGTAGCAAGGACGTAGTGGACATATAGCGTAGAGCTGCTGACCAAAGCCGATATTTTGAACCTGCACACTCAAAGCAGCAGTGCTCATATGACCTTATGCAGTTGCGAGTGCCGTAAAACCCTTCCCCGCCCCCCCAAAAAAACGCCACACGAAGCAGAACCATTAATTTTTATTTTATTATGTCATGCTGTTCCCTGCTTTTATAAAGTTTCTTACAAAGCAATCAGAATTGAAAGATCTGCATGAAGAATTGAAGTTACGCTTTTTTTTTTCCCGAAGTGCCTCCCGCCCCCCAGGGTCTTCAAGCGAGCCAAATGCGCGTTCTCAGTGAGATCTCAAAACATGACCGACCAGGCACAGGAATGAAGGGCTAGTGTAGGAAGGGGAGTAATCCATGCCCCACGTTGTCAAAGAATCACAATACTTTCAGAGTTTAGGCCCCTGTGTGGGTGTTTATCTACAGCATACCCAGGAGCGGCTTCAATGACTCCCAACTGTTAATGGAGCAGAGATGTCGCGATGTGTCTAGTTGGACAGTGGAGGATGTTGCTTAAGTCCTCAAGTGGTTGGAGTTGGGGTATCGTCGCCTTACAACTCCTACATAATACAATGTATTCTTTTTGTAGTCATGTACAACAAGGGATGCCTCATTTCTTCAACTTTTCGGTCAATGGAATTTGCTAGTATTATTTTTTCCCTTTTCTTTAATTTGGCATAAGTAACTGTACGTAGGAACTGGTTGTTTGGGTTTTTTTTCAATTATTTTTTGAGTGTGGTCAGTTTTTTTTATATAAATGTAGAGCAAAAGTTTGGTTTTTTTGTCTTTTTTTTTTCAACTGAAAGTCTGCCTTGATAAAAGCTGAAGTATATAGAAGAAAATAGTTGAACGTTACTGAAGAGCACTGGAGTTTTGGTTATAGAAATGTATGGTCCATAAAAAAAATAGGAGTTGTCTATTGCTGCGTTGTCCTGGATTCCTGGAATCTTCTGAGTTAAGGCTTCTCTGATTCACGTAGCATCTTTCAATTAAGTGTATCGTGGCGCCGACTGGTTGTTTTTTT